GTGGGTCCCAACCATTCAGTGGGTCGCAACAAAGGGTTGAGAACAAAGTGCAGAATATAAACAACTCTAAACGTTGCACAGCATTCATCAATCCTCGCTAGTATTTCACCGAGATAAGCTCGTATTATATTTTATTTTTTAAAATATAATTATATATATATATATATATATATATATATATATATATATATATATATATATGTATGTATTCTGTTCTCATTGAGTTTATGTATCTTGTTCGTCAAACCCATTGCGGACTGAGTGACGTCAGTTCTCTCTGACAAAGCGATCTCATACCAAAACTTAGCTATGAAGGTTCCTTTTCAAATACCTGTTGAAAAAGCTTACGGTGATTAACATTAGTTAGCATAGAGTCTAGTCCTGGTTATGACGATAAACTACATTCAGCAGCAAGAACTCTGATCCAGAGATTGGAGGTTTTGAGAAGCGTGGATCCACTTCTTAATTGCTGTTGTTCCCAGGACCACCCTGACTTGGGGTGGTAGCACCTGTTAGGGTCCCAGTTATGAGCAAATAATGAACCCCCAAACAAGAACAAAAAACTATGAAAGTATAAAAATACATTTTTATAGTAAAAATACCAGTTATACATTTTTATATATAAACAAAATTATCAACAATACGTATTTATATTAAAAATACCAACAGTATATATTTATAGTAAAATTACCAACATTACATATTTATAGTAAAGTTATCAACAATATATATTTATAGTAAAATTATCAGCAGTACATATTTGTAGTAAAATTATTTATAGTATACACTAAAATTACCAACAATACATAAAATGACCAACAATATTTTTTTATAGAAAAATGACCAACAATAAATTTTATCTGTAGTTGAAGCCATAAAATTTTCTTCAAAATATTTAAATTTCGTCATTAAATAAGCCATAGGGGTTGATATGCCGCTAAACAAAGTCAGAAAATCAACGAGACTCTGCTTCGCCTGCCTCTACGCAGTCCCAACAAAAATATAAATAATTTGTTTTGAGATGCATTTCTGCCTTGATCGTAATTAAAGTTATCTTCGATCAATGGAATATTGGCAAATACTTGGCCAGAATGTGCACGTTCAATTCTTGCATCAGTATCTTGGTAACTCAATGATTTCTCGGTGGCTACTAGCTTTTTCCGTCTTCTGTTTACAGCTGACCGTTACTCACTAAAAATAAATGCGATCACCCCACAAACTTTACATTTGAGAAATGCATTGATCTAGTCTTTTGAACATAGCAATTTGGCATTTATCACTCAACACATCGAAATTAAGCTTACTAGCATTTTAGCTCTGATCCTGACATGTTACGACATTGTTACGAGGTAGTAACTGTCATTCTTGCCACATGCTACAGGTCATAGTATTTGCCACATGCTACAGGTCATAATATTTTGGTTCATTAGTTATATACATTGATAAGTAAATATAAATTTGTGTATAAACATATTTGTTTTACATATGAGCGTATAGAAAAATATGTAAAATTGGAAATTTTTTTTTTTTTTTTTTTGTGACGCGTTTCATCAATTAGGATTTCATCGGACTGGTCTTTGCTGGCGTTGCCACGTCTACACATGCGCACGAAACGAGAGACGCAGGTAGTTTCAAAATTTTTGAAAGAATTTTTTTTTTCTCAATCTAGCAAAATTCATCTGTATTCTTTTTCTCTTTTTCTCTCCATCATTTTTGTCCTTGACTATCGCACACTGTGACAATATAAAATCTACCAAGAATGGTGATATATTGTAAGAGCCTGGACACAAATTTATCGTGACTGAACTAGCGATCGAAGCACTTTCCAGACATTTTCTTCTCAGTGGATTCTCAAATCTTGATCAAAGAGACGATATGAACACAAAAGGGACATTTTAAACAAGAACACACAAAACGCATTCGTTGTTCCCCATGACAAAACGGATCACAATTTTGACATAGGGAGTGCTACTTTGAACGTCATAGGGTCGCTACTGCGCAGATCACTAGGCTCACTCACTCTATATACATACCTCGGTTGTATGCCCGTCTCTATGAATGATCTTTCACTTCATTTCGTGACATTGTCAGTCCATTTTCTCTCTGACTGCCTCTTTTTTTTTATCTTTTTGTACCACTACCTTGTAGGATGGCAGTGGAAAGGTTGTTTACTTTAGTAAAGCCACAAATAATTATGCCATCATGGTCTTTTATGACTATTTCAAGTGGATGTCTATACAAACCTTCGGTATGTGGCGCTCTGTAATAGTGATAAATTTTCTATTCAATATACTGCCCAATCTATTATTATTGTTGTTGTTTTAACACCACACCGGAAGTATCCGCTGATTATATTTGGGGATCAAGTAAGGATTATTCTCTTCAAAAAATTAACACTTTCTTATATATTCTTGTTGGCCTTAACAATAACACTCCTTCTCTTCTTTCTTTAATTTTTCCCACTCTCTTTATATGGATATTTGGAATCATTGTTTATACTACAGTGTTTAATAGCAAATATTTATATGTTTAATATTACATTCATCTGACACAATTTTCGTAGTTCTCTTTCTCTCTCTTTCTCACACACCCTTGTACTCTGTGTTCATAATGACCATAATTTGTGGCATTTCGACATAATGAATGCTTGCGCACAGAAAATATATAAGTGAATATACTTATTATTTTTTAAGCTCGTTTGATTTTGCAGGCACGGAGTTTGTTCCTGATTAACTTGTACTGAACAAAGTTAAATTATCTTTATTATATTTACTGGGGGAAATCCTCAATAAACCTATTTCAATTACTCCATCAGTTGCGAATAAACAAAACGCACATTTTTATCTTCTTAAAAAAGAAGGTATAATGCAAGGGAGGCCACTCTAACAGACGCTTTTATTTACGTGAACACATATCAGATTTGCTTCAAATAGACCAGACGCCATTTCCCTAACAACAGATATTTTGGAATGCCGATAATCATTTTTTTTTTAAAATGCACCTGATTTTTATATTATTTTCTTACGCGATCAACGTCGGCACCCGCTCGCATCCGAGCATAGGCATCATCATCCTCCCTCCCTATTCCCTTTCTTCCCTCACCCTTGGTTGCGGTAGGGGGAGATGGCTGTGAAGGACCAGCCTACTCTTGAAAAATATATTTACGTAAGATTATATCTTACGTGATATTTGTACAGAAAAAGAATAACTCGGGTATGCGGGAACAATGCGCATGCTCACGAATAGAAACATTTTCATAGTTATTGTGCTTTCCTGTATAAAGTTGTATATGCAAAACAAAACAAAAGCAGAAGCATCAAACCATGTCTTTAAAAAATGGTATAATCACCTGGCGATTCCAAAAGAACTTTCCTGTCACACATAATTCCTTGATTTTAACACCTTACATCCGAAACGAGTTTTTAGCTCGACATTTTCTATTCTCCTTCTATATTTTCGCACCTTATCATCTCAATCGTCTTTTTAAGATGATTTTAATGATTTGAAAGAATGAGCGGCATCAATGATTTGTTAAGCAATCGTAGCTTCTTTAAGCTGACGTTACAAAACAAGGAAAACTGTTTTGTAACTCCGAGATCGTCACTAGCCTTTCCATATAAAGAGGGTGTGCGGGTGGTGTAATGAACATCGGATGAGAAATCGGAAAGTTGAGTTCGAATTCCAGTCGAGTTCTTTACATTCACCGGCAAAACCTTTTTCTTACAATCCATAAAATTTCGGCTTAAAATAACCTACAAAGGGTTAATAAACCGTAAAAATTCAAACAACACAATTTCAGATAAGAACGCTTTTTAAGAATTATCTCTTTTGAACACACACACACACACACACACACACACACACACACACACACACACACACAGACACTCACTCACATACGAACATGCTCAGACACATACTTGAGCGTTCGTATCAACAACCATGAAAACAAATAGCTTGTGCCAAAATCTGGTTGCGGAGTGAGCACCCCGGTAAATATCTATAAAATAACCACTTTTTACCAACTGTTTGATATCATGGGTGATATTTTCTTCGGATAATAATAGAAACAGCTCACAGCTGTTTATTCCGATAATGATTTCTGTAGTTGTATAATCAATATAGAATTTTTGTCTCTTAACAAATTAAATTGTGGTCCGCCATTGTCTATCGTTAATAACGGATTAATTCCAATGAAATCGTAAGCCCATTTTTTCCTCTTGTTTTTCTCTTCAGATTTTGTCCAAGGTGATCCCATGTAGGATGGCAGTGAAAAGATTTTTTGCCTCTTGTTGACGTGTCTGTATCATTTCAACTTACCCTTCCTGACCGTAGATATTTGTTTTTTCAAAGAATCTGTTTATTCTCCGATGGTGTCGCGCACTGCGCCATTTGTGATACGATTCTACGTAAAAGATGTCTCGATTGTTCTGTAGCATCTTTCTAATGCTTGGATTCTTTGCAGTAATTAATCTGGGATCATCATCTGTTAAATAATTATACTTGCTTCGCAATGCACGCAATTTTTACCGTTTATGTAGAACCGCATTGTTCTTTCTAGGATAAAATGGAGCTACACATAAAAAAAACTGTCTGACATCACGAAACTTGATAGGAGATGCGAAACTTTCAATGGCCTTAAAATAGAAGAGAATTTTTAATAATAATAATAATAATAATAATAATAATAATAATAATTTATTCCAGGCTTTAAAACAAAGCCAATTTATTTATGTTCTGGGGGTGGCAGTAGACAAAATTCCCGTGGAAGTTCCTCGATCGAATAAAGACGATCGGCAAAATAGATTCGGCGAACGCGTGTATTAGCGTGTAACTGAAACGAAACAAAAAACACAGTTAATCACCAGGGACAAAACATCGGATCCTTTTCCCTATATATGCGTAAAAAATCGTATCTTAAGTTTAATAAAATGCAGTTCAACTGAGACTGTTATTTTAGGAAGCATAAATATTCATTACTTGCAAGTCCTAACAGCTAACTACAGCAATAAGGACACAAACAGAGAAGAACAGATTGGGTGAAGATAAATAAATAGCAAGAAATAGGCGAAAGGAATAGCATAGATAGATAGATAGATAGATAGATAGATAGATAGATAGATAGATTGCGAGCGAGACGGAAAGAGACAGCTCACTTGTATTTTTGTGGTTTCCATATAATTCGTGCCGTACGCTCGTCGAGTGAAATCAGCCAAATTAAATTGAATCTGGTTCCATCCTGAATCCAATTTCATGGGCATTGTACAAATCGAATGTGACACTCGAGTGACATGGTGATAATTGCTTGATCGGAATCTCCGTTGAACGTTTTTATCATCCAACACTTGCACTTCGAAGGTAAATGGTTTGTTCATGTTTTTGACAATCATCACGATAAACGGCAACTTAATGCCCAAGGTTTCTCCTTGCTCGGCGGGACAAGAAATAAACGTCGTGCTAATGTTGGTGCCTCTCAGTTCAAGAACCAACGACTGGAGATCGCAATCTGTTATGCGTTTGATGTGCCCATTGCGTACATGCTGTCCCCAGATTTCGAGAGGTCGGCTTCCGATGCTATACAAGATGGAAATGAAGCCCACTTGATATGTGTTTTTGAACATTGCTCCATGAATTGGAAATGTGGCTGCGTCCTTGGCTACGCGTAAACATCGACAAGAGCATGCGTTGCTAAGTGCTTCATTTGACGTATGACGTTTCTGTTTAGCGTCTCAACGTGAACACCATTATTGGTTAATAGTTCTTTTCTTTGCGATTCCTTGATAAATGTCGTCAAAATTGCGTCACACTTCCATGGCTTCTCACTTTTACTCGTTATAAAAGAGAGAGTTATCTTCTTGACAGTTTTTCGATTGCCGATATTGAATGACGACTCGACATATTGTGGAGCGTTTATTGGTCAAGAAAAAAGATTTTTATTGGAATAAATTATTTGTGTAAATTTCATACATGCTTTGACTAAGTTCAAATTAATCACATTGGACAGAAACAAAAATTTCTTTGAATTTCTTGGTTGAATTTATTTTGTTTTACCGCATATCAAATTCAATGGGTTGCCGTCAAGATTTTTACAATAGATTCCCTTTTTCTTTTCTTTTCTTTTTTTTTTTTTTGTACTTGTTTAATGGTATGCCAACTCCTTGTGCTCCATTTAAAGCTGAAATTTAATTTCCTTGGGAGTATTCGTAATTTCTTTTACAAAAATATATTGCTGGTAATATTTTTGCTATAAAAATCTTTCTATACTTGCATAGCGTTTTGACCCTAGTTTAGATGTTAACTATTTGCTCATAGCTGGAACCCAAACAGGTGCTACTACGTCGGATCAGGTCGGACCTGAATTTCTGGGATGAAGAGTTATCATTATTTACACTATTTATATTCGGACTATTGTCCTCATCTTTGTTGCTTTTATCACAATGCTAAGACCGTGGTGCTCTCCAGCCTTCGTCAGGAGTATATCTGAGTAACTTACAGGGAATTCCTAACCGAACCCTTTATTTAATTTACCGGGGTAAACTGTTCTCGTTCCACTGCCTATGTCTATGGATATCTCGCCTAGTTCATATTCTCAGTACTGCCATCACCCTGTTTCTACTTTCAAGTAATCACTGCGTATTAATAAATACACATATACCTACGTTTGTAGTTTCATGGTTTCTCAAGTCATCAGGCACATATGGCGAATGAGGCTCTTTTTACAGTAATTATTTTTTAAATATATATATATATATATATATATATATATATGTATGTATGTATGTATGTATATTTAATTAGACGTTATTTTAAATGGATACTCATATTGAGTAGATGCTCCGTTTTTATTAAGCAGTATATTTATTTATTTACATCTACCGGGCAGAATATTTAAGAAATTATTCTTTGTTAGAAAAATAAACGCCTTCTGGCAGGACTGAAATCTGCGTTTCCCAGAAAAAAACATGATTAAATCTGACATGCATTGGCCTTTCAGCCACGGAGGACCTCCTGATCAAGCATATTTTTCCCGATTCTTGAAATACACATATCTGCTCTGTTTCATATCCTAACAAAACCAAAACAATTTTTTAAGAAATGGATTAAATTCGATATATTTTTAAATTTATTTGTTTAAACGTTATTGTTAATGGATACTCATAGTAAGTGAGTAATTGTTCTGTTTATCCTATTAAACAGTATATCACAGTATATATTAAACAGTATCGAATGCTATCGATATATATGTGCGATAATGATATATAAATTTTGATATATCGAGAAGTGTTTGAAAGAAAAATGTATAACAAGTTGGAAAAGTTTTTGTGACGCGTTTCATCTTTTAGGACTTCATTGGACTGGGTTTGTTGACATTGTGACTATACACGCGTACAAACGAAATGTGTGTGTGTACGTGCTTGTATAGATAGATAGATAGATAGATAGATAGATAGATAGATAGATCTTTGTATGTTTGTGGGAGGGGAGCCAGAAAAGGGAGACAGTGAGAACAGTACGTTAAATGAAGTGTCGAATTTGGGCGGAAAAATAAAGTCAAGGGATGTTTCACGCAAAAAAGAAAATTCATTTAATAAAAAAATTATCTTTCAAACTTCTGGCACGAACTGATTTTTTCATCTCAAGTAATGGGATGTTTAAAAAAATTGATCATAATTTTCATGTTAGTGTTTTATTATCGAGCAAAATCCACGTCGATCCTTTTAATTATCGACATATTTGGTTGACAATACAACGGTCTTCTGCCAATCCAAAACGATTAACGGTTATGGAGACTTTTACATCAAAAGACTGCAAACCATCATCAATAAAATGTTTTAATCTCAACGTTCACGTGATAGAATGTCTTTGAATTGTAAGGTCATTTTAGTCGTGTGATATGTATGCAGGTTTGATCTGAAAATGATATGAACATATTCGACAAAGAGACAATAGCCATCAGGCATAATTGGTAGTTTGGTTTCTGATGTAAACACTGTTTAGAAAAGAGTTGTGAATGTAAAATTTAAATGTTATTTAATCATGTTGTATTACATGTAATTCGAACGAAGTGAAAAAGAAATGTTCCTAGAGGACAGCTTTTAACAATAAATTATTTATCACACAAGTACGTTTTACTCAGTACATAAGAATTACATTGAGAGTAAATGTACATGACAAAAGAGCGAAAAGAATTAAGTCGACATTCTTATGTTGCCACTTATCAATACAGATATATTGATATCTTACAGATATCAATATATCTGTATGAGAAACATTAAAAGTATTATGCCAGATATACCCCACCCATTATATATATATATATATATATATATATATATATATATATATATATATATATATATTAATTTAATTAGAAAACAGACAAATTTAAGAGTCCATTGATTATATTTTATTTACCCAGAAATGTGTTTTTTTCTTTTGGTTCCTCAGATCACATTTCCAAGCATACATACATACATACATACACACACACACACACACACATATATATATATATATATATATATATATATATATATATATATATATATATATATATCAATTCTCTAATATCACAATCCCTTTTCAGAGTTTAATGTAACAATAATCATCAGGTGAAAACAATGCGGGTCCAAGCTATCATTTAACATATACTCCAGGGGTGCAGGAATTCCTACCCCGGATGTGTATTTTTGTTCTTATGCCGGTATGCGGCTATAAATTTGCTTCTCTTATTCAGAAGCTGAACACCCATTCATTGTAAAATGATTAATTTTTCAGACACAGATTAATCTTTACTGACTCCGTTATATGGTTTTGATTTGGCCAATACTTTCCATGTGATGGCATTCGCCTCCTTCCCACTGTCAATAACGTTCCAATACTAGTTAGAAAGTTCTACGTTTGTATCTGCTGTTGGTCAGATTCAAAGATTTCTGATTGTGGTATTGCATTTCCCATCAACCCTCGGCAATTCCTACTTAGTATTTGGTCTCTCCACCACTAATCGCTTTAGCTCCATAGACAACGTCCAAACACGCTCCGTTTCATTGTAATATAACGAAAGAAGAAATTGAGATCGTAACGCACACCCAGAAATTGGTGTTATTCCACGAAGATTTGAACAGAAAGATTGAATCCTATCTTTGATATTGTCATGGAGGCATATTATTCTGTGGAGGTCTATGCATTGGTGTGAGTTTACTTGTAATGGCGACTGAGCAACCTTGTCAATATTTACAATATGAGATGATGGAATTATGGCATTATGAAATACAAGTCCCACACAAGGAAGGAACTATGTAAATTCTTCAAAAACCATAATTTACAGGTATCTATAAAAAGTAATAACGCAAGTAAACTTTTTGTTTAATCTAAGAACAGGGGTGTTTTTATCGTATCAAAACAAACCATCCAGCAAACCTATTAAAACACTTTTATAAATCTATACAGGCTCGGCTATCAACAAATTTCTCTAACGAAGATATCTCTAATGATGCTGCTATAGCATGCCAAAAGACATTAAGCGAGAGCAAATACATCGCTCGCTTAACATTTGAGTGGAGCGGAGATGAAATGAGAATCGTAAGAGATTTAAAAAATTTCCGACTTTGGGCATTGAGACTGCATATATATATATATATATATATATATATATATATATATATATATATACCAAGTGTAACAGCAAAATTGTCCAAATCGTTTTACAGCATAATTGTCCATCCCACAAAATGTTTAATAATAAAAACCACTAAACTAATTCGTTTGTTCCAGGTTTTCATATAAGACGTCTAGCCATCTCGACTGTATTTTTCGTCTAGAAAGTTAAATCGTTTTATGTCAGCCCCACTTTCTTCCCAAATGAGCAATGGTGAGAGAAAAAAAGATCATTCAAACCTTCAGTAATGGTACCAACATTCATACTCTGGCTTCCATCTTCAAAGTTCATTCAAGAACCATCAAGAGAATGATGAAAAAATTTTTAAAAGAGTGAACTGTAGAGAGGAAAACTGGATCAGGAGGTCATATCAATAAAAGGGATCATCATTTCAAAAGAGTTAAAGAGATCAATTAGAAAAAATCCAAATCAGTCCAAAAAGACGTCTGGCACGCGAGAGAGGAGTTTCAGCTATAAGGGTCCAAAGAGCCGTGAAAAACACTTGAAAATGAAATTGTACGTGAAATGTGCGAGGCACCTTATTACTCCAGGACAGAAAGTTAGAAGGTTAGAGAGGGCGCAGATCATCTTGAAAATGATCCTGCAATAATATACATATAGTTGAACTTAATGTCAATCTTTCCTGAGCTTCCGGTCCTTAGCTATGATTAATTAATGATAAAAATGTCACCACGATTCTTCTATCAAGCTTGTAGAGTAATTATACAATCTTATTACTCAAAATCGAGTTCAATAGTCATATAAAAACCTCGGAGAATTCCAGTAAGATATCTTTAATCATTTCTAAGATACAACGCTTGTCGTATACACGAGTTTGTCATTGCTTTGAAATTTTTCATGTAACAAAAACAGTTTATTGTTTCGTCCGTGTATTGTTTGATATATTGAAATGTAATTGTCATCGTTGATAATGGCTTATGTAAGCCGAAGGCTTAGATAGGATTTAAACATGTATCAATATGGAGATTTCCTTTCGTCTTTCAATGATAATGTTATTAAGCTTATCAGACAATATGAAAAGAACTTACTTAAAATAGACACAACTTGTCTATATTATTTAATAAAACATGCATCACTATATATATATATATATATATATATATATATTATTTTACTCTTTATTTTAAATTATATATATATATTTTATATATATAATTTAAAATAAACAGTAAAATAATATATATATATTTGATACATGTTTCATTAAATAATATAGATAATATATAATACATAATATATATATACTCTTTATTTTAAATTAAAAAATAACAAGAACACTGTTACTGTTCTTGTTATTTTTTTTTATTTTTATTCTTACAAAACATTGCTCAATGTAAATTTACAGAGCATAAATATTATAAATTAACTGATTTAAAATGTTTTTTCGCTACAGAGTAATAACCATGTTTCAAAAATGGTAGCTAAAAACTTTAAATTTAATTATATAATTAGACTAAAAGCATTAGTTCCGTTTTCTCTTCAAACGAATATTGGAATAACTTATTTTTAAATTTACTGAGTTTTAAACACACATATAAATTCATAATTTACTGTTTCCAAGGATACAGAGGAATCCATTCATTCAGACAGTGGCTGTAGCGTGTTCATATTTTATTAACTATTGTTGTATCAATTATGAGTTACGTTCAAAAAAGAGGTTAAGTTTAGGGAGGGTAGGGGTATATTTTTCAACGTATTCTGACATCCGTTAAATGCATGTCGTCTTTTTTTTTTTGTATTAACGGCAAAAAGTTTTTCGGCATTTTTTCCCTTGTATACTCAAAGTTCTTTTTTATGTGTGTTTGTGTTAAAATAGGTTTCATTAAACTAAAATTTTAAAATATTTTTACTCTTAATTAGTAATAGATTATATTTCTTTTTAGAATCAAGTAAATGTAATAGAATTACTTACATTATTTAAAATTATTTTTTCATATCAAATATAAGTATGTATATTACCAGCTCCCATTTTTTAATTTTATTTTTAAATTTATTTTTAAATATTATTTAAGGAAAATTTCTGACAATGACGGCAAAAATAGCTATTTTATTTCTCTGATTCAGTAAATTTTTATTTTTTATAAACTTAGTCATAGTTAGTTCCTCATGTATGCACAAAGGACATGGGTCATTTAATGACCTACATATTCTAGCTTTTCTTATTAAATTCCATTTTAATGTAGGTGTTTTATTGGATTTTTTATTGCCAGAAATGCTTTGAGAGTGATGTTTGATTTCTGTACTTATCTATCCTAAATGAAGTTTGATATTGATTGAACCGCATTTTGAACTCATGGCTTGTGCAACCTATATAGATTTTTATGTTTTCAGGGTTCTCAATAGATGATATATATATATATATATATATGTGTGTGTGTGTGTGTGTGTGTGTGTGTGTGTGTGTGTGTGTGTGTGTGATATAAGGATGACTTCAATGAGGCCGCTATAGCATGCCATAAGGCATTATACGAAACAAACATACTTCTCGTTTAATATTAAAGGCCAGGGCCGCGGCGAGAACCACAAGAAAATAAAAAAAATAATAACAACAAGAAAAGAAAAATGAAAGTCATATCGAACAAGGAATAAATTTAATTCCATCGAAATGACTTTGTTTACGTTTCGGATACGAAAGTAAAAAGTCAACATGGATAAAAAATGTATTTTTTAAAAATGTGAAAGACAATCTGCCCGAACAATATATATATATTGACTGCTATACAGAGATATGGATGCATGTTGAGTATCTATGACAGACAAGGAATATTTTCTAAATCTTTTAATCCGATTTTCTAGTGTCTTTACAATTTTAATTTGTCTATCATATTCAACGAAACATACATAAAAGGATTGCTGTAAAATATATATATATATATATATATATATATATATATATATATATATAT